TTTTACTTGTTACCCTCTTCACTTTTCTCAACTTCTCTCCCACAAGCTGCCAAACTTTTGAATCAACAACTTTTCTTAGCAACTCCCCTTCCTTAAGGGAATTGTGCCACATTGCTAAGTCAATTTTTGTTTTGTGTATCTTTTTTTTAGGGTTTTGCTGTAGGGTGCATCCATTCGCTGGAAAGAGACAGAGACAAGGAAAGTGAGAAATCACCCTCCCAAGAGGGGATGGCCACTCTGCAGTCCCTTCTACTCCATTCTTCTCGCGGGATTTTGGGCATGCATGCCTGGCATGATTTTCAAACCACTGGGTCTTGCACTTGAACTAAGGTCGGCTCCATGGAAACTCAGTGCCTTAACCACCACACCACTGTCATTTTTAAAAAAATATTACTTATTTAGGGGCCAGCAGGTGGCATGACGGTTAAGGTGCTGGACACTCTCACATGGCCAACCACAGTTCAAGTCCCTGACCTGGTGGCTTGCTTTCTCACTTTCTCTCTCTCTGGTGAAATTAAAATAAATGAATGAATACATAAAATTAAATAATTCTTAAAAATAAAACTTATTTAAAATTGAATAGATAATATATTCACATGGCTCATAAGTAAAAATTAAAAAAGATAGTCAGTGTAAATTCTTGCGATATAAAAATGTAAGTCAGGTTTTCTTCTACATTCTCTTGTCCCTAGTAATCATTTTGGTATTGTCTCCATGCCCCAGCCCCTGCATGTGTGGATTTCATGTTGTATCTCTGGCCTTCGAAAAGCTTGTTAGGCAATTACAAGAATTAGAAACATGTAATTATATATTTTTCTTTAGTACTCATGGTCTTGCTTTTTTGTTATTCTTTTGGCTGTGTGTCTTACTTATCTGTTTCAATACATAGATCAGATGTTCTCAGGCTTTCTTGTTTTTTCATCCTTAGTGTTGCCTTAACATTTTTGCTGTATCCCTAGGCCAAAAGAAATACCTAACAGTTCAGTTTATTACAGCATTTATTTAGGTCTAAATAACAGGCATGTAGCTGATTAATAAAAATCAGTCAGAGAGAAAAATAAATATAAGTTGAAAAAATTTTCATTTAATTCTTAAAAAGCTGCCAATACTTATTAATTAATGGGATTATTGTATAACTTTCCAAGCCTTAGAATCAAATTGAGCATCATTATCCTCATTTTCTATTCTACATGTTTCTAGTTTGTGATTTATACTATTTTCCATGGAAGTACGCAGAAACTATTAACCAAATTTAATTTGCATAAGTTTGTGTAAGAAACTCCCTGAATAAAATGACATTAGTTGGACTAGCTCTGGCACAGCGATAATGTTCCAATCAAGAAAAACCTGATCTGGGACCAGCAGTTAGCATAAAGACTATGTTGCTGGACTCCCATGTAGTCGACGCAGTTCGTGTCCTGAACCCGGTGGCTTAAAACTCACGCTGGGCGCATGTGCATGTGTGCCCAGGATCCATGGAGGAGAAGGGATTGCGGCATGGCCATCCCCTCTGGGCGGTTGATTTTTCGCTTTCTATCTCTCTGTCTCTGTCTGTCGGTCTGGCTGAAGAACGTACGCGCCCTATAGAAAAAAAAAAAAAAGCCTGATCTTACATGGTTACTGCAGTTCAAATCCCTGGTGAGGAGTTAAACTATAGTCTTTAAACCACAGTCACTGGAGAATTGCAGGTGACCAGACCTTGTGGGAAGTACTCATGTCTCTCTTTTTCTCTTGCATCCATATTATGTATTTTAAAATTACATTGGGTTGAAGTAGCTTTCAAGTTAATAGGTTCACATTTCTGCCTGAGAGGGAACGAGCCAGTCAGCGGTGCGTATCTAGACTGAAGGTTATCTATAATAACTTCTACCAGGGGGCAGGTAGCCCACCGTTTCTGGCAGCTGCTAGGCGCATCCTCTTTGGAGTCCTTCGACAAGGACGATTGTTGATAGTGGCGATGTCTTAGCTTGCCCACACTGCCTACTCTCTCCTGGAGTGTCTCACAGAATCTCTTCTGCTCTCTACCTCATTTGGTGCTGCCTGAACTTCTCGCCACCTCCTGTCCTTCCTTCCTTTGCTTCCTTTTCCTTCTCCTCTCCGGTCCTGCCCCACTTGGCTTTCACCCTATGAGCTGGCTCTTCTCTGGGGCTGTGCTGTTGAACCACCCTCTTCCTTGTCAATTTGAAGGACTGTGAAAGTATGGAGAACTGGGAGATTAAACAATCAGAAACTGTTAGTCTGACGATGAGATTGTTGAGCATGGAACCAGGCATCAGTGTTTGCAAATTGATGTTTAAACAGTATAACAATGACAGCAGACGTAACTATCCTATTTTAAGTAAACTTTATATTTCACAGTGCATTACTTCAGTTACTGGATCACCCTCTGGTATCCTTAGAAATTAATTCTTAAAATTGTTGGGAACCAGCAGTTAGCATAATGGCTATGTCGCTGGATTCCCACGTAGTCGACCGCAGTTCGCGTCCCGGACCCGGTGGCTTAGAACTCACGCTGGGCCCGTGTGCGTGCGTGCCCAAGATCCCGAGAGGAGAATGGAGAAGGGATTACGGCATGACCATCCCCCCTGGGGGGTGATTTCTCACTTTCTGTCTCTATGTCTCTCTCTGTCTGGCTGGCGAGTGCACGCGCCCTATAGCGAAAACCTCTCAAAAAAAAAATTGTTAAACAATCCTCTGAGGTAGATATTAACAAATATGGACAAAATAGAAAGGTTGGCGAAGGAAAACTATTACATGTTGAACATCCCTAATCTGAAAATTTGAAATGTGAAATGCTCCAAGATCTGAAACTTTTCAGGTGCTAGTATGATACCACAAAAGGAAAATTCCATACCCGATGTCGTGTGATGGGTTGCAGACAGAACTCTGCAATGGAAAATTACCTTCAGGTGGCCAGCTCCATGAGCTCATGGGTAAAGCAGCCAGATCCCACATAACCCGCTGTGTTGTTTGAGTCCTGGACCTGGTGGCTTGAGAAACACAGCAGTTGCATGTGTGTGCCAGGTGCATGTGCATGTGTGCTCAAAATCTTGAGCAAGAGTCCGAAGAGAAGGGATTGCAGGTGACTATCCCCATAGGGGGTGCTTTCTCCTCTCCTTTTCTCTCTGCCTCTCTCTGGCAAGCACATGTGCCCTCAAGCTAAAAATAAAAAATTACCTCCAGGCTGTGTGTATAAGGCATGTACAAAACATAAGTTAATTTAAAAGTTTTGTTTATTGGGGCTGGCAGGTGGCGTGGTGGTTAAGGGTGCTGAACTCCCACATGGCTGACCACGGTTCGAGTACTGGGCCTGGTGGCTTGCTTTCTCACTTTCTTTTTCTCTCTCTCACTCTATCCCTCTCTGGTCAAATTAAAATAACTAAATAAATAAAGTAATTCTCTAAAGTTTAAAATAACTAATTAATTAATTTTCTGTAGAAGTTTTTGCCCTAGGCTGTGTACTTTTGCCAGAGAGAGAGAGGAAACTGAGTAATCACTCCCCAGAGGATTGGTCATGCCGCAATCCTTCCTCCTCCATTTTCCTCCTGGGATCTTAGGCACACACACATGCACACACCCAGAGTGAGTTTTAAGCCACTAGGTCCGGGCCTCGAACAACAGGAAGGTCATATGGGAGTGCAGTGATATAATCGCTATACCTTCTGTGGCCCCTAAAATTGTTTTTTTAATTACCAGAGAGCTTTATATTTGCTAGAGAGAGCAAGATGAGAGAGAGAGAAGGCAAAAACTCTCTCAATGGTATATAATCATACCACAGTTTCTTCTTTATTTCTCCATCCTGTAGAGATTTTGGGCATGTTTGCACATGTGTGTGGTGTGATTTTCAGGCTGCTCAGGGCCAATATTTGAACTGTGGTGGGCCTTATGGTATCTAGTCCCTATGCATAGTGCTTAACTGCTACACTACTGGTTGAATTATAAAGAAATGTTTTGGGGACCAGCATTTGGCATAATGGCTATGTCGCGGGACTCTCATGTAGCTCACAGGTTCAAGTCCCGGATCCGGTGGCTTAAAATTCACGCCGGGTGCTTGTGCGTGCATACCCAAAATCCCGAGAAGAGAATCGAGGAGAAGGTATTGTGGCGTGGCCATCCCCCTGGGGGGTGATTTCTCGCTTTCTGTCTCTCTGTCTCTGTCTTTCTGGCGAGCATATGCACTCTATAGCAGAAATCTCTCCAAAAAAAAAATAATAAAGCAGAAACCTCTCCCAAGGAAAAAAAAAAAAAAGAAATGTTTTGCTTTTACATGATATTCCCAAGATATTTCATTATGTATATGCAAATATTCCAAAATCCAAAATATCCTGACAGACTGTGTGCTCTGAGAGACCAAAGAAAAAACCAGACACTTGCATAAAGGATTTGTTAGAGTTTACCATCAGAGGGTAACTTACTAAATGGCAGATGTATTCTCGCTAGGAAGGTGACTCCTAGTGCTCTGGCGTTGTGCTCCGGCGTTGTACTCCGGCGTTGTACTCCCCCTGCAACCTTTAAGGGACTCACTGAATAAAAGGGCAAAAACCTGGAGAAAGGTATATTCAGACTAGATCAAAAGCCACTAGCATTTCTATTGTTAGGGCAGTGGCTGGAGCAGGGACCTCAGTGAGAGGGTCTGAATGACTGCCTCAAGTTCTAACTTTGAAATGCTGCAGAGGAAGGAATAGAGGGGCGGCACTATGTGATATCAGGTCGTTTCACTTCTGTTTGAAATTACACATACCCAAAGTCCAAAACAGTCTGTTCTCAAGCATTTCAGATAATACTCAACTTGTATTTTTGACCTCTCATTGTTTCAAGTAATATTCAAGACACTTGCAGTGACTTGCCCAAGGTTACATAGCTGAGAGAACAAATATGACCCTAGGTCACTTAATGAACTTGGTAGTATACGGAACACTGGTTGAATACATAAATAGTGAACTTGTAGAGGTTGTTTTGTACCACAAACTCACCTAAATATTTTCCTTTTTCCTTTCCAGCATCTGCCACAAGCCTAAGTGGATCTGACAGTGAGACTGAGGGGAAGCAACGCAGCTCTGACTCTTTCGAAGATGCATTCAAAGCAGACTCCCTGGTGGAGGGAACTTCCTCCCGCTATTCCATGTATAATAGCGTCTCTCAGAAGCTTATGGTATGGCAGCGTTTATGGGGTGGGGGGCAGTTCTATAACTGTCAGCAGAGAGAAGAGCAGTTTGTATTGGTATGAAAAGAAGAAAAGTGAGGGCAAGAGTTTTTCCCTGCTTTTCACCTACTGACATTAGCAGAGAGTACGGCCCTCTTCTCAGTGGAACCATCTGTCACATTCCAATTACCTATGGGAAGTGACTGCTTAAGCCTGTTTGTCTTGTTCTGTCCAGAATTGGGTCACCTTTGGTATCCTTAGTAAAAAGAAAAAAAAAGAAAGAAAAGAAAAAAAAGCCAGTTAGAAGCACGTATGAATATACTTCCCTAAACATGGATGTGTATCAGAACCTAAAGAGGCTTCACGTATTTTTGTTTTAGTGAGTGATCACAAGAAATGACTAAAATCCCATTCGGTCCCAGGTGTGAAGGAAATGGGAGTAGCCCTGTTTTCTTTTTCCAGATGACAGTCCAGTTCTCTTTCCCAACTTTCATAACCCACTGCTTTATCACATGAAAGAAGGTGAATAGGAATTTACTTACTTTCCTCATCGAAGTTTTTTTTTTTTTTTGAGAGATTTTTTGTTATAGGACTCATGCACTTGCAAAAGACAGAGAGAAAGAAAGAGAGAAATCATCCCCCCAAGGAGGATGGCCACACAGCAATCCTTCCTCCATTTTCCTCTCAGTCTTTTGAGCACAAATGCACATGTGCCTAGCGTGAGTTTCAAGCCACTGGGTCTGGGACTCAAACTGCCGTGGGCCATGTGGGAGTCCAGCTGCCTTAACCTTGCTTTTCATCTATTGATAATTGTAGGAATATCATAGTTGATGCTACAACTTCCTGTTGGATTTGTTTAAGAATGAGAATACCACTGCTGAAGTCATAGGTTGGGATTCTAGTTTGGGAGCCACAAGCTTTAGGGGAGTGAAAGGTGAAGAGGCTTATTACTCACATCAGCTCTTTTGACCTGGGGAAGGATTTGTGGTGACTGTAGGAATCCCATTCAGTTCTTGAGCTGATAGTGCCCTTTTCAAAGGAAACATAGGCTGGAGCAGCAGGTAGTGTGGCAGTTGAGGGCACTGGATTCCCACATGGCTGACCATGGTTCAAGTCCCAGACCTGGTGGCTTGCTTTCTCACTTTCCCTTTCTCTCTCTCTCTGGTCAAATTAAAATACTACTACTAATTATAATAACAAATGGAATTAAATAAATACCTTTTTATGGAAAAAAAAGAAAACATGAGCCCTCTGGGGAAAATTAGGTCTTCTTAGGATTGGAGTTATTTTATTAGGCAAGAGTCTGTGGGATTTGGGTCTGTGATCTTTGGGTTATGCACCTGGGCCCAGAAACTGTAGAATTTAGAGTGATAGGTAATTGTGACATTTTTATAAGTTTTTTAGAGAGGTTTTTGTGTGCTCGCTGGAGAGACAGAGACAGAGAGAAAGAGGGAGAGAAATCACCCCCCCAGGGGGATGGCCACATCACAGTCCCTTCTTCTCCAGTCTCCTCTCGCGATTTTGGGCACGCAGGCACATACTCCCGACATGAGTTTTTTTTTTTTTTTTTTTTTTTCTTCTTCTGTTTTTGGAGAGGTTTTTGCTATAGGGTGCATGTGCTCACCAGACAGAGAGAGACAGAAAGCGAGAAATCACCCCCCAGGGGGGATGGCCACGCTGCAATCCCTTCTCCTCCATTCTCCTCTCAGGATCTTGGGCACGCACGCACAAGCGCCTGGTGTGAGTTTTAAGCCACCGGGTCCGGGACATGAACCACGGTCGACTACGTGGGAGTCCAGCGACATAGCCATTACGCTAACTGCTGGTCCCCCGACATGAGTTTTTAAGCTGCCAGGTCCAGGACTAGAACCATGGTTGACCACACAGGAGTCCAGCGACGTAACCATTACATCTGCTGGTCCTGGCAATTGTGACATTTAAAGAAGAGGCGAGGTGGGAACCAGCAGTTAGCGTAATGGCTATGTCGCTGGACTCCCACGTAGTCGACCGTGGTTCATGTCCCGGACCCGGTGGCTTAAAACTCACGCCGGGCGCGTGTGCGTGCGTGCCCAAGATCCCGAGAGGAGAATGGAGGAGAAGGGATTGCGGCATGACCATCCCCCCTGGGGGGTGATTTCTCGCTTTCTGTCTCTATGTCTCTCTCTGTCTGTCTGGCGAGCGCACGCGCCCTACAGTGAAAAATCTCTCCAAAAAAGAAAAAAAAAAGAAGAGGCGAGGTAATTAAGGTGCAGTACTCCCATGTGGCCAACTGTGGTTTGAGTCCCAAATTGGCAGCTTGTCTTTCTCTAGCAAGCGCACGTGCCCTATAGCAAAAAATCCCCAAACCTGTTTCTGGCCCAGGGTTCTTTTTTTTTTTAGCTTTCATTTATTTATTTTCAGGTTTTTGCCATAGGTCCTGTGTGCTTACTAGAGAGAAGAGAGAGAGAGAGGGGAAAAGTGAGAAATCACCCTCACACACACTGGAGGGAATGGCCATGCTGCAGTTCCTTTCCTCCATTCTCTTCTTGGGATTTGGGCACACACATACACGCACACACACACACACACACACACAGTGCGTAGTGGGATTTTCAAGCTCTCGGGTCTGGGACTTGAGCCACAGTTGGCCATGTGGAAGTTCAGCATCTTCACTATGCTACCTGCTCATCCCCATGGCCCAGGATCTTATAGTACCATGAGTGTACAGTTAATCTCTTGATTAATCTCATTGTTCTCGCCTTGTAAGGCTATTAAACTATCTAAGGGTAAAGAAGAAATTACTTGAGGCAGTTTCATTTTAAATAATGTTGTCTTTATCAACTCTATTCTAGATCTACCTTTCATTTAATCAAATTAGCTGGAAGCGTAAGTTGTGCAAGTGTCCAGTGAGATTCATTAAGTACTCTTGGTGCTTTAAATCACAGCTGTGAAGTCCCTTCTCATTTATCCAGCTTCTGTTTGCCATAGACTTTCACCTTCAGAATAGACAGCCACTGACCCCACAGTAATATTAGTTTTTTTATTTGCATTTCTTTTTTGCTATGGTCTAGAAGGTAAACTTGTGGCCAAACTTTAGAATTCATATGTCTAGCCTTCTACATGTGTGTTTCTTTTTTTTTTTTCATAAGAATTTTAAACATTTAACTTTATTTATTTATTTAAATTTGACCAGAGAGGGACAGAGTGAGAGAGTAAGAGAGCAAGAGAGTGAGTGAGAAAGCAAGTCGCCAGGTCTGGGCCTTGAACTACAGTTGGCCGTGTGGGAGTCTAGCACCCTTAACCACCATGCCTCCTGCTGGCTTCCTACATGTGTATTTCTTAGGACTTAGCACAGTATCTGGCACTTGATAGGAACTAAATAAATGCCTGCTGGACTTAATTAATTATGCCCTATTACTTCTCTTTTTCAGGCCAAGATGGGCTTCAGGGAAGGTGAAGGATTGGGGAAATACAGCCAGGGTCGGAAGGACATCGTGGAGGCATCTAATCAGAAAGGCCGAAGGGGCTTGGGCCTGACTCTGCGGGGCTTTGACCAGGAGCTCAACGTGGACTGGCGAGATGAACCCGAGGTAGGTGGTGTGGAGAGGAGGAAGCAGAATGCTGCTTGTGGTTTTGAATGCAAGGCTTTAAGAAGCCGTAGTAACAGACTGGGAACCCTCAGAGGCAGTGTGAGCAGGGCGCTCACTGAGGGCTATTCAGAATGGAATGTAGAGAGATTCAGAATGGAAATACAAGACTGGGGAGGTATGACAGGATGTGAGTCTGTCTCCTATTGCTTGATAGGACTGTCTAAGGCCAGAGGGTAAAAGATACTGGAGGGCATGGGACCAGCAGTTAGTGTAATGGCTATGTCGCTGGACTCCCATGTAGTCGACTGAGGTTCAAGTCCTGGACCTGGTGGCTTAAACTCATGCTGGGTGCATGTGCGTGCGTACCCAAGATCCCGAGAGGAGAATGGAGGAGAAAGGATTGCGGCCTGGCCATCCTCCCTGGGGGGTGATTTCTCGCTTTCTGTTTCTCTGTCTTTCTGGCGAGTGCATGCGCCCTATAGCAAAAACCTCTCAAAAAAAAAAACAAAAAACAAAAAACAAAAAACCTAGAGGGCAGAGTTTAGGTACAGAAGAACTTTAAAAAGTAGGAAAGTTCTCCAGCTGCGGATTAAGATACCTCACGAGACAGTGAGCTCCTCTGCTGAAGGGATTGAAGCGGGTCACAGGAGCACCCAGCCTTCCACCTGTAAGTGACTGGATTAGGTGCCCTGTCCGGTCCTTGCGTCTCCACAGGTTTTGCCATCCAGATTCCAAGTAGGGGCTTATTTAGGCCATATAGCTTTTTGACCATGGTTTAGTCTGTTTATTCACTTGGATGCCTGTTTGTTTCAGCCCTGAAGACCAAGAGACTCTTACTGTCTCTTTCCATGGCACAGATAATTTTATTGTTGTTCATTTACCTATGTCCTACCTTATTCCATGAAGGATTCGAAGTAGGTATACTAAAAGAATCTAAGAATAATGGTGAAATATTACTATTACTGAGCAAAAACTAGAGAAAATATAAGTCATATATGTCTAGCCTTCTGCATAGTTGCTGTAACTGAGTTTCAGATATGGCTCTGAACTCTTGAAAATAGAAATTTTGTTTGTCTCTCTAATGTTCCAGTTCAGGAAAGAATTCCTGTGCACCCACACCTGATGAAAGCCTAATGAGATTTTAGAGTAAGATTCTGACAAACCAGGAGCTAATGGGTTTTGGGTGGCCTTGCTGTGTTGCCTTGGAGTTGGGAGGAGATGAGGCCAGCAGCATAGTAGATGAGACAGTGCAGGATGGAATAAATACTTATAATTGGTTGTTAGATAAAAACTTTTGCCTCAGAAATACCTGGTTGCTTTTCATGTCTTCATTTGTGTGAAAACAAGAGTCCTAGTCCTTTAAGTGGGGCAGAATTTGAACTAACCTGGCTAAATGCGAAAGCTACAATTTGCCTGAAAAATCTCTTTTTTTTTTTTTTTTTTTGAGAGGTTTTTGCTATAGGACACGTGTGCTCGCCAGACAGACAGACAGAGATAGAGAGACAGAAAGTGAGAAATCACCCCCCAGGGGGGATGGTCACGCTGCAATCCCTTCTCCTCCATTCTCCTCTCGGGATCTTGGGCACGCACGCACATGCGCCCGGCGTGAGTTTTAAGCCACCGGGTCCGGGATGCGAACCGCGGTCGACTATGTGGGAGTCCAGCGACATAGCCATTACACTAACTGCTGGTTCCCAGTAAATAAGTGTTTTTAAGAGTTTGGCTCACATAATGGTTGATAGCCACTTCTTTAAGGAATTGAGTCTGTGGCCCAAGGTGACTCTCCAGTCCCGGGGTCACTGCAGAAGTGCCCAGAACCATTGTCACATGTAAGGTCTGACCCTTATCGCAAAGTCCACTGTGTAGGTGACCTTAATGTTCAGACTTCCATGGGGAGATTGAGTCTGCTTTTTCTCTTCAAAGGAGCATCCAGAGTGTATATGAGCTTCGTTAGTGCAGTTCATAATTTAGAGCCGTTTGTGCTCAAACGTGAAGGGTTTGAGCTGGAGGAGAAGCCCTGACTCATTGCTAGATTCATGGACAAAGGGCTTCAGTCATTTCTCTTTTTAATTTTTTCTCCGTTGATGGTGGTTGGCTTGCCCTCCAGACCTTGGGTTGTGATACTGTTTTATGCCTTTCAGAGCATGTAATATTACCTTTAATCACATTGCTTCAATTTGTAACGGTGAGTCTCTTCTCTGTACTTGCTTGGGAGGCAATATGTAAAGCTGCCATGCAGGCTAGCCTCCTGTTAAGTTTCATAATCCACGTTCCTCTGGCTCAGTGGTACTTAGCCCTGGCCGCACAGTAGAGTCATTTGGGGACTTGTACAAATGAACTTATGCACAGTGTGCACCGCAGACCAGCAGAACCATGTGCTCTGGAGGTAGAGCCCAGGTGTCAGGACCTTGTAAGCGCACCATAGGTGGTCCCATTGTATAGCCATGGTGAGAACAGCTGTTTTACCTGGAGGGAAAGCAAGTGAAAATTCAGAGGAGGTAGCCATTAGAAATGCCAGTTTCTCTTTTTTCTTGGAGTGAGTAGGCAAGGAATCCTATTTACCAGGGTCTGTGTTACTGTATAGTGAATGACACTTTGAAAGACATTGGTGAGACTCATTGCACAAAGTCTTCCTCATGCAGTTACCTTTTCATAGACTTACACTATATGTGGTAACTGCCTGTGTGCTTCTCTGTGTCCCCACTGCTTTGATGATCAACCCTTGGGTCAAGGATCATGTCTCACTTATTTCTGCATTCTGAGTGATTGGCACATAGTAGGTATTACTCAAATAAAACTGGAACAAATGAAAGAAACCCTGAATGCTTGGACTTTCTAAGGATTCAAACCAGAATTAGAACTGGCCTTCAGAAGTTGAACTTTTTTGGATCTCATTTCTCCATCTGATCACTTTTGGCCTCAGCAACCTGGATCCCTCTCAGACTCTGAGTCCCACTTGATTGTCTGGGAGAAGCCCTGGTGAGTTGCGGCATAGCTCTGAGGATCTGTGTTACCTGACTTGACTTGGCCTCTCTTTTCTTGTAGCCCAGTGCCTGTGAGCAGGTGTCGTGGTTCCCAGAATGCACCACTGAAATTCCTGATACTCAGGAGATGAGCGATTGGATGGTTGTGGGAAAGGTAGGATTTCAGGAAAATGTACCCCGACTTCTTGTCACTCCCCCGACTTACCTCCTCCTCGAGTCTCGTGTGTGGGTATACTTGAAGCTTAAGGGAAAAAAAATGTGATTCTCACCCTTCTGGCAGGAATAAAGCTGTGTCAAGTGAGTTTGTCAAGGGCTTTTTGAATGCCTCTGGGAATGTGACAGACTTTTCCCCCTCATTGTCATTTAATTTGCAAGGCAGATAAAATATATAGCCTCTCTCCGGGATGCCTTCTGGATTGGCTTATTATGTGTCTGGGTATATTCTGGTCACTGCTGCTGGGCACTGTTCCAGGTAGATGAAAAGACATTGTTCCTGTCCTCAGAAACTAATGAGGGCAATGTTACAGAGGGAGTTTGTTTAATCTGCTTCTAGAAAATTGTAAGAATAAAGTATGTAGCTACCGAACCACTATGGCCTAGAGAATAGTTTTCAAGGCATAGGGGCCTCTGGGGGTTTCCAGGACTCTTTCAGGTGGTCAACAAGGTCAGAGCTGTTCCCGCTCTATTTCTTTAATGTGTGTCTACTGGAGTTTTCCAGAGGCTGTGACGTGTATTATATCACAACTGACAAATGCAAAACAAAGAGAACCTAGCCTTCTTTTGTTAAGCCAGACGTTGAGGAGCTTTGTAAAAACCAGTATTTCTTGGGGCCAGCAGGTAGTATAGTGGTTAAGGTGCTAGACTGCCACATGGCCTACCAAGGTTTAAGTCCCACACTCGGTGCCTTGAAAATCATGCCAGACACATGTACGTGCATGCCCAAAAAACTCAAGAAAAGACTGGAGGAGAAGGAATTATGGTGTGGCCATCACCTCGGGGGACGGGGAGTGATTGCTCACTTTCTCTCTTTCTCTGTCTCTCTCTAGCAAGTGCATGCACCCTATGGCAAAAACCTTTTTTTTTTTTTTTGAGAGGTTTTTGCTATAGGGCGCTTGTGCTCACCAGACAGACAGAGAGAGACAGAAAGCGAGAAATCACCCCCCAGGGGGGATGGTCATGCCGCAATCCCTTCTCCTCCATTCTCCTCTCGGGATCTTGGGCACGCACGCACATGTGCCCGGCGTGAGTTCTAAGCCACCAGGTCCGGGACGCGAACTGCGGTCGACTACGTGGGAATCCAGCGACATAGCTATTACTACGTTAACTGCTGGTTCCCTGGCAAAAACCTTTTAAAAATTGAAGTGTCTTGGGAAAAACATCACTATCCTTACTAATTTTTTTGGTGGAAAATATGGTTATTTGTCATAATAACATAAAATATGTTAATTATGTTAACATTGTTCTTTTAAGCTGAATTAAGAAATATTTAAAAGTCTCGGGAACCAGCAGTTAGCGTAATGGCTATGTCGCTGGACTCCCACGTAGTCGACCGTGGTTCGCGTCCCGGACCTGGTGGCTTAAAACTCATGCCGGGCGTGTGTGCGTGCATGCCCAAGATCC